TAAAATAATAAAAACAAAAATATCGTTCAAATGATGAAATTCTCTTTTATTCACAACTCAAGAACTATTTATGGGATCTCTCTGGCCACACATCTCAAAAATAAACTCACCCACTTAATGCATGACAAAACTAAAAGTGAAAAAAAGAATTCTAAAAAAATTATCAAACAGCAGCGGTCACTATAGTAACGCATGTACACTGTTTACTATTACTCTTGATTATTGTAAATGAAAAGTGCTGATGACATGAAATCCAAATCAAGGCCCATTTTGGCAATGAGTTATAAAATCAATTAACATTATTTTTTTATATCATTTGTAAGGTGAAAACCAAATTTCCCCCCATTCATTTTTAGCTAAATTTAAAGAACGAACTATTTAAAAAAATAAAATAACTGGATAAAATTCTTATTACAAGTATTTTTAAAAAGTTCTACTTCAATTTGTTTTCGTAAAACTGTATAGTATGAAGTAGATTTTAATGCATAGATTTTTATAAAATATAACTGAAAAAATTTGCACAGTTATTAGAAAAGCGCTGAAATATTTGTATTTTTATACAAAATAAAAGAAAAATGGCCGATTTCAAAATTTAATGCAATCAGATGTATTCAAATTAGAAATATCAATTTTTTAAAATTTTTAAAATCTTTTACAAAAGTTCTGGAAATTAAATTTGTGAAAATTTAAACAAAATATATGAGCATTTTTTAATAAAAAAACAATAATTCTGCATACACTTAAATGGAAATTTCGGTATTTAGCTTAAAAATGTATATTAAGTATTTAATTGAATTCGAAAAAAGCAATAAAAACATTTTATTCTGAGTTTAATTTTTTTTTGCATTTGTAACATTTGTTTTCTCTTATTTGTAAGCTTTTGTTACTCATTTCTGCTTAAAATTAATAAACATTTTCTTTCATAGAAATTTATTTGATCTGTAATAGCAAAAATATACGAGGGTTGTAAATTAAATAGTGGCAACTTAACCTTAAAACTCAAAGAAGGGCGGCCCTGCGCAAATAGGATATGGGAGCGGTGAGGTGGTGCTGTTGTCGATGTGTAGAGTGCAAAAAACATTCGATCTGCTTAGATGGGTAGTTGTTGTGTGGCGTTAAAGTGAGGAGTTTCATTTCCATCGCTCTAAAGCATGCTTTCAAAAGGCTTAATGACGAAAAAAGACGAGATGTTTGAACACATCTTGCTACTGCGGTAAAGTATTCGCGCCACTGGCTTCCACTAATCCTCGATAGCATACTGTTGCATTTTTGCCACGGGCAACCTCGATTTTAAGCCACGACCGCTGATCACCATTTGAAAGCATGCTTTAGAGCGATGGAAACGAAACTCCTCACTTTAACGCCACACAACAACTACCCTTCTAAGCAGATGGACTGTTTTTTGCACTCTACACATCGACAACAGTGCCACCTCACCGCTCCCATATCTTATTTGCGCATGCCCACCCTTCTGTGAGTTTCATGGTTAAGTTGCCACTATTTAATTTACAACCCTCGTAT